GGGCAAAAGCCATTTCCGCGGCTTTTTCATAGCGTCCAGAGGGTCCGCATCGGCCGCTCGTTCCCCGGACAGGCTCCAAGTTCACCCGCGGCAGAACCGGGAAAAATAGCGAAATTAAACGGACTTCTCAGTGCAAGAAAAACTGCTGGATTTTGCACTAGCCGTGGTTTATTTTCCAGAAGGCGGGTGTGATGCCTGAGCCGCTCGCCCGTGGGCAGCATCGCCAATCCCAGGAGGCAGCGCCACGGGCGGCTCCTCCCGGGCCGTCCGGGGCGCCGCGGGGCGCACCGTGTTCCTCTGCTCGCCCACGGGGAGGGCAGAAGTCCCAGCACTACGCCGCTGGTAACTCGCCCATGCCACACCGGGTACTTACACCTTGTTTGACTGTAGCGCGCTGCGCGGCTCACTGGGGTCAAGGCTGCACCGTGCTCCCCCGCTGGACGGTACGGGACGCTTTGCATATTAGGACCTGCATATCAAATACATGACAACACGGACATGGTGAGAGACCTTGCTGTGGGGGAAAGAACAGGGCCCACACAGAGGTGGCTCCGCATCCGCATTGTGGAGTGCGCTGCTGCAGGCACACCAGCCAGTGCCAGACACATTTGGGGCCTGCCTGCCAGGGCTGCGGAAGTAGCACTTTTCTTGCCCATTTCTCTGGGGAAACTCGCACCGCCTTCCTGCCCAACAACATTATCTTGTCAGGCAAAAACTGCAAAAACTTGAAAGCACAGCAGCCTCACAGATCCGCTGGCGGTTTTGTTTCTTGCTTCCTTCCAGCTGAGCAAAGGCAGTCATTGCCATGTCTCGTACCTAGGATCTCTGTATGCGCCCTGGCCTTGCACCCCGGTGCTGGGCCTGGGGCCTGCCAGTTCTACCCAGCATGGGCCTGGAGGGCCGTACCATGCTGCCCACCTTTGGGAGATACCTGCGGAAAATGCATGCTGCCGGCACCAACACCACCGGGGCTGCCTTTTCAGCAGCACCCAGTGGGGGGCCACCGTCTCCCCCACCTCGACTTCAAGAAGGGAACACGTTTTAGGTGCAGAGCAGGGAAAAAACCCTGTGGTACCCCTGAAGGTGACATTCACAGGAAGAACTCCGTATCGGGAGCCGTTTGCTTTATAGGATGCAACCTGCAGTTTGAAAACTCTCAAGGGAATCCAGCTGTGTGTCTGGACAGCTCGGCAATACTTCCCTTCCCTCTCCAGTCCCTGACCCCCGAGATCTCGGCATCTCTGAGCACCGGCTGAGACTGCTTAAATGCAGGTGGAAGAAACTCAACACAATGAACGAGCAAACGCGTCATCCCAAACGCACCCCTCGCTGCAACCCCAGCTGGAACAAAGGCACACGACAAACGACTCACCCCGAGCATACCCATCGCCCGCCTGCATCGCCG